TGTTTTCCAGCCATTGCCTCACAATAAGCAGCCTGCAAGGACCCTGACCTGCCCCTCTGTGGCTCTTAAAATGTCAGCTCTGTTTCCTTTTCCCTCCCCTCCATTTCCACTGAGCTTTTGCTCCACTTTCTGTGCAGGACAGTAGCTGTCCTCAACTCCGTAAAGGGTTTTACTGGACTTGCTATCACCATAAATTGCACTGTAACACACAAAAAGAGCTGCACAATACGCTCCACTTAAATCTCAATGGAACAGACTAGTTAAAATCATAATTATTTCCTCCATCAAACTAAACCCTGTAGAGTACAAGAGAGACCATTAAATGGAACACTATAAAAGAAATAAAGTTTGCGGCTACCAGACAGCAAATTATGACTATAATCTGACTAGCTAAAGAAATAAAACTGTTAATGCAACATATTCACTGGTATGCCAAATGAAAAAAAGTTTTTAAATTATTTATGTGTTTGTATTTCCATTTTTAAAAAGGTGCTTGCAAATACCAGTTTGAATGATCAYTTCTGTCATATCCTTTTGAAATCAAGGAAAGACCCTGGTTGATACACTTGCAGAAATCAACCACGAGAAGAAGATCTGTGAGCAGGGAACACTGCAAAAATTATCAAGTAGTATTAAATGTTGAATGCCAAGCAAAATAATCTTACAGACCAAAAGTAGTYTTTCATTTATTTGTGCACAYAGTAAACCATAGAAAACCTCTTAAAATAACATTAAGTGCTGAGCTTAAATCYAATTAAAAAATAAGGGACATAACTGAAAATTAGCTGTGACAAACTCTCGTTAATTAGCTTTTCCTGTCCCAATATCTAAACCCTCCTTTTAATTTCCTATAAGTTTTATGTGAAGAGTAATGAGAAAYCATTCTCTCTGTTMTAYATGGCATRTGAAWAATGACAAAAAAAWTCTTTTAAAACCTGAATTGTTGGTGAATTTCTYGAGCACATGGATAGGTTTGTTTTCAGTTGTCCACTATTTCTGTTGAATTGTGACTGAGTACGTCTCCTGAACCTATCTTTATAGTGTTACTTGAACTCATGCTGTCCATCTGCGGGTCCCAGCCCTAGTGAAAACACTCCTATTCTGCAAGGAATGCATTAAAAACAAGTTTTAAAAAAAAACACACCAAGTGCACAGATTCCTCAGGTTCCCTAAAAAGGTTTACAGCAGCTGCAGTAGCTGCTTTACCAACCTCAGCCTTTCAAAACCTGCTAAAAAGATAAGACACAATATAGAGCAAAGCCTGCAAAAATTCAGCTCTAAGCCCAAAAACAGTTTGTTTAACAGATACGCCCAAAGTGTCCAAAACCTCGAAGTTTTCTGTGTTTCTGTCCTCCTATAATTTCAAAAGCAGTTAAAGAAATGGTAGTGCATACAGAAATGTGTGACTCTGTGCGTGTGTGTGTGCATGTGCTTACATTTGTATAAATCCTTTCCAGACCTCAGCATCTTGCGCCAAATTCCGGCAATAAGAAGCATTTCTGTTTGTTTTCCTGCAGCGTGGAAAACTGCAAGAAACTGTATTTAAAAGGTGTAAGATACTTAAAGGGAGATAGTAACAATGGAGTTGTAACAGAGGTGAATGGGATGTAGCAAAATCTTTTTAGGTTTAAGAACAGACACTTAGTTGCCCATCTGGGGTCATCATCCCATGCGCTCCCGTCTCTTCCATAGCTACAATTCCTGATATAAGAGCACTGGGATGAATAACTTAATAATGCTCACAGAAAATTCAGTTGTGGAAATGTAAAACCAAATCATGYTTGTTTTTAAAATGTAACCAATGCTTTTTAGACATTAGTAATGGAAAAGATTCTCTGTGTGTCATCTTGGAGGCTTTGAAACCCTCCAAGAAATAACAAGACAGAGACACAGAAGGAAATGCATCAAAATATCTGTCTGCAGGACTGYGGTCTGGTTCCTGTTAATGTGCAACAAAACAAAGCCTAGGGCTGCAAGGAGTTGGATTTTAACRTGTCCCATAGAGAATGAGATACAGTCAGAATCCAAGGATATAAAACTGATTCTAAACCCTCCCAGAAGGAAAGGACGGCATCAGCTTTTCATCAAGCCCTGATAGGACAAYGAAYAACTTACTCTTGGAATTTCTCATCRTTTTGCCTCATTATCTACTAAGTAAAAGGAATATTAAAATGACAGTAAACATTCACCATTTGAGAGTGGCAAAATGTCCCTGTCTATGCTGGAAGTTCCAGCACAGATTTTGAGAGTGCACGAGGGCGTGTGCTGCTCGTTGTCTTGCGCAAGTGGTTTGGCTACTCCCAGGCATCWCCCAATATGACATAAATAGTCCGAGCTGGTGCCAATTCTCTGCTTCTATTTGGTTTGTGGTGCCTGGCACCATCCTCAAAAGGCGATTTTATTCAGTCCATTATCTGCATCTCTCACAGAATCTGCAATGTCCATGGGTGTTGCAGGCACAGATACACAGAACGGGCAGAGGGTGTAAGTGGAGATTTTAAGAGCTGAGGAGTTTCTGCAAAAGGSATCAGGGTGTAAAACTAACACTGTACATGCTCCTCACGCAACCCTCTGCTTTTCAGGCACTATCTTCCTGTTCTTTTGTGGTGTCCTGTGTATCTCCCAAAGGAATTGCTGAACTATCCATATGTAACATTTCCATTCCATTGCAGAAYCTCAGGCTCCTGCTGGGATTTCAGAAATACAATTGGTAGAATTCCAGTCGAATAGAGGAGCCTTAAATTAACTCGCGTTTCACTCCTATTTTCTGATAAAACCAATTCTGAAGCAGTGCCAAGTGTCTCTTTTTTGACCCTAGAACATTTTTAAGGCCCTGTGCCTTTCCCCAGACCCCACAGCCAGGTCACTGCYCTCCTGCCTTGGCTGGTGCAGCAGCAGCAGCACTCACACCCTCAGCTCCATAAGGGCCACCTGCTCCCAGGATGGTGATATCCATGGACAGCATCACTACATCCMTACAGATTAAGATGAAAACATTTTATTTTGATGTCGGCAACCAAAATACCCTTTGCAGATTGATGCATAACACCTCCCTAAACCCAGCAATRGGAGCATAAAGCAGGATGTGCTTTTGTAGCAAACTCTTAAGAGGAGGAGAACTTGGGAGCATTGCTTCACCCTTAGATCACCAGAGCCCCCCATAGCTTGGGACTCGGGGCAAAGCATGTGCTTAATAGTGAGTAGGTTGCTAAGGATATGGCACATGAAGATGAGAAARACAAATTTCCTTTGGGGGAAATTTTATTCTTAGTAGTTTGTGTTTGACATGTTAGATTACACCAAAAGAAACAAAACTAATCCTGATTCTAAAGGAATGATGAAACRAGAGACACGTTTGGTTTGTGCGTTATCTCTCAATAGTGGCTCAGGAACATACACCCCTTTCCTTCAGTAATCGGAGTCAAAGGGGTGTTTTAACCTCCTGCTGCCTGGAGAGGGAACTTGTGATTAACTAGAGCAGGCAGGGGTGCAGCTGCATTTGTTGTTTGGTCAGAGTACAGAGGACTTTGTGGTGCCCACATCCTCAAAGGGGACAGAAGTGAGACAGAGCCCTCTGAGTGGTRCTTGGGACAGGAACTGAGATAGTCCTTCTCTCTGGAGGAAGGAGAAGACACTTGGACAAGGCAGGTGCCTGAACTTCTCACCACAGGAATTAAAAGGGGTGAAGCTGCGGCGCTGGGAGCAGGCAAGGTACCCGTGGCAGTTTCTGAGGTACCTGGTGGCACTAACAGAAGAGTGTCTCTGCCAAGCCATGGACACACGACAGCGCTCCCTCAACCCYGACATTTCCAGAATTCTTCTGAGGAGATAAAGCCTGGCTCAAGGAGCCCAGGCCGAGCACCACAAGGCCAGGAGGGAGGAGAGGCAGGACTAGAAKCCCGCTTCCTCCGGCCTTCCTCGGACAAAGAGCTGCGCGTCCGCTGCCCCCGGGGCTGCCGCAGGGCCGGGCCCCCTGGGCACGGTGCCCCCGGGAATCGCGGCCGGGCCGGGAGAACAAAGGGGCCGGCGAGGGGCGGCCGGGCCCGGGCCCGGCGGGAGGAACCGCCGCCAGGGTTTTTCCCCTCAATTAAGCCAATTGAATGGCGCTGAATGGCCGGTGCGAGTGCGCGGTCAGTCCCTGAGCGGCGCGATTAACCCGGGCAGCCCCGGCCGAGCCGCGCTCCTCGCTGCCCGCCCCGCCGGGGGAAGGGGCGGCTCCGCTTCCCCTGCCCGAGGGACCCCGGCCCTGCAGCCGCCTGGGGAGGGAGGGGAGCCGGAGCCCTGCCCCAGCCCCGACCCCAGCCCCGACCCCAGCCCCTGCCCCGGCCCCGACCCCAGCCCCAGCCCCCCGGGGACGGGCCAGATGCGCCCCGGGACCCCAAAGGTGACCACGGCCCGGGGGAGGGAGAGAAGGGGGAGAAGCAAGAGAAGGGGGGAAAGGAGTAAACTCTAATTTTCCCTAGGAAATCTCTGCAAGACATCCGATTTGAAGTTGCGAATCCCGTCTGCTCGCTCTGTCACAGTAGTCACMGGGAAGCTTCTTGTGAGCTTCTAATCCCAAGGGAAACGCGGAGGAAGGGAAACGAGGAGAGATTCGCTCTTCAAAACTTTCCAGGCTCTTCGCAATATTTTCAGGGGGAAAAAAAACAAAAAAAAAACCCAAAAAACCAAACAATTTTGACACAGCCACTGATGAGGGGAGTGGGCAGCCCCGAGCCCTGCCGGGAGCGGGGTCGGTGCCTCGGCAGTCACCTCTCCCCCGGCAAAAAAAGCCGCCCCCAGCCCCGGTCCGCATCCCCCGAGCACCTCTATCCAGCCTAGAAATTCGGACACCCTCTCAGCGAAACGCTAGGCATCTTCCTGCTAGCAAAGGAAGCATTTCTTAATATCTTGGCTCTTTGCACAATTATGGGTATTTTATCAGCTCGTCGTGCCCCAAGTTTGCGCAACACATCTGTCATTTTCCGGGATGTTTTAGTGTCTTAAAGCCAGACTAGATACAAATGAATAAAACATAGCAGGCTGTGGGAGGTTTGGGGTCTAATTCACAAAGGGAGTATTCAGAATTCTTTACAGGTGCTTCTGTGTTCAGCAAGCTTTCAGCCATTGATTTACTGACCTAAAAAACCCATCAAACTCCATTCCAACAAGTGAAGGAGGAAATTATGATCACAGGAACACACTTAAAAAAAAAAAAAAAAAAAAAAAAAAAAAAAAAAAAAAAAAAAAAAAAAAAAAAAAAAAAAAAAGAGAGAGAAAAGAAAGAAAAAGAAATCTTTTTGAAGTTTCAGCATCCTTCTAAGCTATTTTCCACTTGTCAGACTCTATCCACATCTAAACCCATCATCCCCCTGCAAACGGAGTCTCGTTTAAGTAGGAAAAAAAAAGTCCATCTAATTCGTGTTGCAGTTGAATATTTGCTGCAATTTGCAAAATAATTTCAGCCTCGACTCTGCCAAGTTTATGGGTCCCCCTTTTCCCACCACCTCTGGGTGTAGATTTATTTATASAAAGCATTCTACACAAATCACCAGGAATATATCCCCTCAGAGGACAACCTTGGGCATTTCCAGTGCACTTCTGAGAAGGAAATTACAAGTTCCACTAAAAATAAAACAGAAACTATCACATTTTTAAACGGTTTTCCTTTTAAAGGCACAAAATCGAAGGYTTTGCAATAATTTGCTTGTTTGTGGATTTTACATCAACAAGCAACCCAGTCTGATTTCCAAGATCAATGGCACTTATTACCGCATAAATTAGTCGATTATAGGTCTAGTAAATAGTTAAGTAGATAAATAGCTTAAGCAAAGAAGCCAAAGGTTACTCAAGGAAGAKCTCTAAAGATTCAGTTGCCGGCTCTAAACAAAGACTAAAAGACAAAAAATTCGGAGGGCAATTATTTCGTAAACGAATTTTTCAAAATGCAGTTAAAGGCGGTTTATTTAGGAAGTCAGGGAGCAGTGGGGCTTTCTCAGGCTGTGCTCCCATCCAGGACAGATGCCGCTGATTCGGTTTACAGGTCCTTTGAATCTGAACATCTGCCCTGCACAGGGAGACAGCGGAAGGACAATTAAAAGCTAATCCTTCCGAAGAGTAGACTTTTTAAACGGGAAAGATGAATATTTGATGCAYGTTTTAAAGCTGAACTGTTACTCTCGAGAACACTACATCCACCTTTCATCAAGCTTCGCCAGGGACTACTACCGCTTTTTGCACGATTTCCAAATTATTCAGCAATTAGTTCAACCAATAATAGTTGGCAATTTTGTTCCCGAGGTGCGTTTGCCGGTTAGAGATGCGCCTTTTCTCCCTGTCGTTTTCAGTACAAACCACCCCATTTCGTCGCTATTGTTACTCCCTTTAGGCGCAAAGAACCCGCAGCCTCCCCTTTCCCGGGCTGTTTCCCCGTCCCGCAGCCCGAGTTCCTCGCCACCCCGGCACTTCTCGGCCTCTGTGAGCGCCTTCCTCCCCCCGTTCCTCCTCCTCCTCCCCGCGCAGGCGGAGCGGCAGCCGCCCGGCGCAGCTGTCGGGGCGCGAAGATGCGGTTCCAAACAAACCGCAGCAAACTTGGCCTTTACCGAACGCCCTCTCCGGGAAAAAAATAAAACCGTGTTAAAGACAAATCTGCGCCCTACAGGACACGTCCGAACCAGGTAGGTTAAAAGAGAAAACAGGCTGGGACGAGCGGAGGAGCGCAGAGAACACGGAGGCGCAGAGCGACGCAGGGAAACGAGTTCGGTGCCCAGAGTCTGGCGGGACAGCCCGAGAGCTCGGCTCGCCAAACGCTGGGCTGGGGCAAGCCCGCGTCTGCCGTCAAGTTCTCGAATAAAACCAACATTTAAGAATTTTGTTTTGTCCAAGCAATTTTTTCCCCGTTGCATAGAAGCAGCAGCGCAGGAAGCCCCCGGGGTGGCAGCGGTTCTGGTGGCAGCTACACGGAGAAGTGGAGCGAGGGGAAAAGGGGARAGGAGATGGGGGGCCAGGAGATTGCTCGAATTCCTTTGCCTGTAAAATTACAGTGCTGTGGCAGTGGGGAGGTTAAACGAGGAAACACGTCGGAAAGTTTGCTGCCGGGTCCGGAGAGCCCTGGCTGCTGCCGGGTTCGCTGCCGTTCCTCCTGCCGGGCTCGGTTCAGGGCAGGGGCTGTGCCCCGGGGCACCAGATGGGCTGCAGAGGGGATGCTGAGAGTTTCCCGACTCCTCTCCCAGTCACRTCTCATGAACAAAACTCCAGCGGAACTTGCCCCCGTGTCAGCAGGCTCCGTGCTGCCCACAGACACCTGCTGCCCGCAAACACTGCCCGGGCACACCCCGTCCTGCACCCCCGGCTGCCTCCCGCTCCAGGCCCTTGGGAAATGGCCACTTCCTCTCTCTCTTTCGTTCCAAAACCTTGGCGTGCAAGAACTCACGACAACGTTGAGTAATTCACCCATCAGCATCTTTAGAGTGTAGCCACTAAAGAAAATTCACGGGTCTCTGAAGTGCTAACCTAAAATCTCTGGTTTCCAGATTTTATTTCGGGCTGCACTCCCCCTTCTTCCCCCCCTTAAYCAGATGACCTTGCTTCAAAACATTTTATTTCCAGCTGAAGTGAAAAATGCTAACATATTAGCTTCTGTAATTGCAGTTTGACAGCACTTGATCTCAATAATTATGCTGCAGCTAAACTATTATTAACAGTTTAAGCTAAAACAAACGGAAATCCCCCTTTGGAAGTGAACAGAAACAAACCATTTGAACTGTTTTGGGGAAGGTRGGGGTCTCTTACCTGCATTGTAGGCTGCCAGATCTGCTCCAGGCCCTGGGCTTTTTCTTTTCCTGGGTCTCCCCTTCTGGACAGTCCCCACGCCGTTGTAATAAGGCAGTCCCAAAGTGTTGGCAGAGCCTGCTCCCAAAGCCGGGCCCTTCCCAGCGGCTACATCCGAGTGATTGAAATGCACCTGGTACTCCCCCTGGATGAGAGTCTCGAAATGGAGGCGGCAGTACACCAGATTGTCCTTCATGCCAAAGTGATCGCCAGTGGTCAGCATYTTGTTGCAAGTGGTGCAAGTGAAGCAGTTTAAGTGATATACCAAATCCCTGGCCCTCATGACCATCTCGGAGGCAGAAATCCCCAGGTGACATCTCGCACATCTCTGCACCGAAAACCTCCTGCAGAACAGAAAGGCCAGAGGAGACGGTGAGAGGCGCATTCCCCCCCACCCCGTCCGAGCCCTGGGACCGCCACCTCGGCCGTGGCAGCGGCACAAAGCCGGGACGTTTGCGGAGCACGGCCGGGCGGGCACCCCGGGACGGGAGCGAGGGGAGACTCMGTCCCGTTTCCCAGCTCACAGCGCAGCTCCTGCCCTGCCAGACCCCACCAAGAAAAGGCACCGACCCCCRCYCCGCGAATWCCCGCACYCCCGGGCCGGAGGAGGCACMGGCGGCGGGCGAGGAGCGGCCCCGGCCCCGCGGGCAGCACAGGAGGCMGAGCAGGGCACGCCTGGTGAAGGCCCAGGAGCCAAAGCTGGGGGGAAACTGTGCCACTCTCCCGGCTACACGGGATTGATCCCCACCACGGGTCTCTCTCTCTGCAGTGGCAGGTTTCAGGAGAGCACATCCTGCCCCACGCACCCACGAACCCCTCGGCACTTTGGTCAGGACGGGTGTGCTCCGCGGGGGGAGCGGCGGGCAGTGCCCCGGTCCCGGCTGTACCTGTAATAGTCCTCCTTGCAGTAGATGCTGCCGTCCTTGCTGAAGCAGGTGAGCTCGGACTCCAGGTTGAGTTTACATTCACAGCACTTCAGGCAGCGCATGTGCCACTGTTTGTCCACAGCCAGGAGGTAATAACGGTCGGAGATTTTCCCCCCGCAGCCGGCGCACAGGGCAGCCCTGTCACTGCTGATGGAAGGCATGGTCTGCTGGGGACAAACAATTACAGACCGTTAGCGACAGGGAGAAACTCTTGAGCGCGGTTGGGCTCCCCCTCCCCCTGGCCGGCCGGGGCCGCTCTCCTGCGGAGGAGCGGGGGCTCCGAGCCGCCACCCCGAGCGGCCCCCGCCCGGTCCCCAGGGTCCCGCCGCATCCCACCTTCCCGGGAGGAGGCGGGGAAGCGGGAGAGACAAACAGAAAACCACCCTGGCTTTTAGGGGAGGTGTCCAGACCAGACACAGACACCAGAACTTTTTTTTTTTCTGGTGAATTTTCTCGTCCCAAACCAAGAAAAGRTGCTGTTCAAGAAACAGACGCAATAATAACAGAGTAGGGCAAATCGCAGATAGTTAATTTTAAAATTTATTATTATGGATATACTGAGAGTGTCTGCACAGTTAATGCTCTRTGAGTGCGTGTATGCGGAGCGTGTCTGTGTGTGTATTTTCTAGCTATAAAATTCCGAATGAATTACGATCAAACCCTCAGTAGTCACAGWGCTGCAGACACAGCTCTCTGCAAGCTGGTTCCAAACAACACGGATCGCGATCTGCTGTGACCCAAAGCGCTAAAGGGATCAGTAAATAAAGCCGCGAAGGAGATGAGCGTTACTAAATCCGAGGTGCAGAATGTTTTATCACGAAAACGAAATAGCGGGAACCGTGTGGGAATGAGAGTGGGTAAAAACGAACAGAGCACTTTAGATTATGCTGGGATAAACGTGAAAGCAATAAAACTAAATATAAGCCCTATATAATTTAATAGTTTAGTGTCAAATCGCAATCCAATCGAAACCCTCAAAAAAMCCCAAATTCATACATATCCTGTCAACTTCTGCCGAACAAGAAAGAGGGAGAAATATCGGAAGCGTTTAAGAATGCTTATTTATTTCAGCAGACACCTTAATACAGCATTCGGGAGAGGAGGCTCGGTAGAGCAGCGTTTGGGGCAGACCTTGCAATATGGTGCTTTCCACTTCGGTCCCAACTTACTCTTCCCCCCTTCGCACAAAAGCCCACGGCAGATCCGTTCTTGTGCAAGAGAACGCGAAACATTTCCTTACAGCTGTGACCAACACGCAGTTTGTTTTGGTTCGGGGCGGGGGAGAAGTTGTTTGTTTGCTTTTACCTCCTCTAGAGCCTTAAATCCTCACGCAAACGAAAAGCAAAGACAGCTAATCGGGGAAATCGAAAGGAACCTCGGCTGATTTTCCAGCACATGCCAGACCCGTTGCTTTCATCCTGTGCTTGCGGGGATCACAAAATCCCATGGCTGTGAGCACTCCCGTTTGCACTGCACCATTCCCACTAGGAGAACTCCACACAAATAAAACCCTGGCACTCCACTGGTGTTAGTCACAGGAACCCACTGGTAGCTTGTTTCTTTAAGGCATTAACTGAACTCCGAGTAGGGATCGTTTTATAACCAAAGTAGTTTCTTGTAAATCCACTTTAAATGTAATAACGATTTTTTCTACTTTACTTTCCCAGTAACAAAAGTATTCTGAGACCTAGAAAAGGTACTCAAGAATCCAGTATTCCAACCCACTATTTGTTATATATACAYGTGTATCCGTATAGATTATATATGGTTATATGAAGCTATCACACCACAATATTTATTCCAGCAAAGAACATTGGATGTAGTTTAATTGCACGGAGAAATATTAACTTTTTTTAAAGAAAACCAAAATCGTTTAGATTAGAAATTGCATCCCACCCTTACAGTACAAAGGCCGTTTTCCAGGAGRTATTTCAAGATTAAATAGTCGCACTGTCACCTTTAAGCAAATTTCCACATAACATTACAAAAAAGAGCACATACTGATGAAGTTTGAAAACCCGAGAACGAATCTTCCTTGCATATGCCTGTATCAGTTTACAAGAACGCATTTAACCAGTGTACGAGATAATTTCACTTTAGAATTATACTTTCTTTTTTTAAAAATTGTATACATAAATTGTTCAATCATTTAAGACACTTCAGAAATTTCTTCCACTTTGCCAGCTTAACACTAGTTAGACGGATGCATGTTTTTATTATATAAATGTATTCATATACAAGGACTACGCATCAGCAGACAGAAGATAAAATGTGGTAAAGTTATAAAAATTCGCATCCATCTCCCTGAGACATATCTTCTAGTTCTGCTTGCCATGTTTACAAACCCACATATTAAAATTATTTTTAAAAACCCAGAACTTAAAGACACTCAGATTTGTTTTTTTCCTTCTTAAATGCTATAAACACTACCTCCGTTAAGGCATCCTACCTGAAAAATAACACAGAATTGGATTCTTTGGTGTGTTTCCATTCTGTAGACAAAAATTCGCTGTGCCGAAATGTTACCGTTATAAAAGCACACTTTGCCTCTTCCTAAAAACTTTGGAAGGCTGGACAGGCTGGGGGAAGGGAAGGAGTTCTCGGACGCTACCAAAAGGCTGGTCTATCTTTCTGTTTTCTCGCAAGAGTAGTACTGTTCGTTTCACCCAAGTGTTACTATTACTATGCACATTATTAATAATTAACAGTTTCATGCCTTTCCCCACGGTTTCATTTAATCTTTTGGGGTGCCTKTATGCTTAATTTTCTTCTGATTTAGTATTTTGCATACGTTTCCCCCCGATCTGTTATTTTAGGGGAAAAGCTGTATCTGTGAGGGGTTCGGTATGTTTAGGGGGGTGCATGACTCTCCCATTCCTTCGGCTCCTACCGTTTCCGTCTCTCCCCTGTCTATAGCCGAGCTGATGGCCGGTGCTTCGCTTTTGGTTCTCCGATCCATCTCGTCGATGACCCCGTGCATCTCCGAGCCGGAAAGACTGTGGAAAAGCATCGCTGAGGAAGCAGAGGAGGAGGGCCCGAGTTGCTGTTGCTGCTGACAGTTGTCGGGGTCCCTGCAGGAGCCCAGAACTCGCATTAACCGGAGCCCTCCCCCATGCATCTAGGACGGCCGCCCCGTCTCTCCTTGGGCACCGGGTTTTTCCCCCGGCAGAGCTCTCCGGAGCGCGGCGCAGGCACTGATCCGAGGTTTCAAGGGATGGGGTGCAGAAAAGGCGGGCGAAGGGGATGAGGGAGAGGGGATAACTGGTGGTGTAAGCTTCGGGGCTTGGATCTAGTCTGCTGCGCGGCCCCGGCACATCCCTCTAGGAGGCTTCTTCAGTGCAGGGCTCATTGCCCCAGGTGCAGTCCCAGGCTTTATGCTCTGGCCCAGCTGGCAGAAGGCTGGGCACGCTTACGGTTGGGAGGGATTAATAAATAGTAGAAATATAAAAAAAAAATTAAACCATCTTCGGTGAGAAATAAATAAGAATTAGGAAAAAATTATGACAAGCCCCCTACATCGTACTGTGCGAAATTTAGAGGAGGAAAGGAGAGGGAGGCTGCAGCAGGCGGAGAGCAGGCTGGTGCTGCAGGGACGCTGGGGCGGATGCCCACCGTACGCGCTCACAGTCCAGAGGGCTGGCAGCGGCGGCAGCTCAGGGGCAAAGTTTGCTCCTTCCCCCGCTCCTCCCCCAGCCCGCTGGAGCTCATTGGGAAAAGAAAAAGCCAAGGGGAAGGAGGAAGAGTTGGACGGGCACCAGATGGGACGGGCACTGGCGGCCCCCCTCTGTCCTTAAAGCGGCGCGGCCCGCGGGGCSCGGGGCGGGAGCGCAGCCGGAGCCGGAGCCGCCGCGGTGCCCGAGCGGCGCGTCTGCAGCGCGGGGACCGCGCGGAGCTCCGCGCCTTTTCTACAGCCCCTCTGACATCATGTCCTGCCCCTCCGCCATTGGCTGCGCCGCGCCCGGGCCGCCGGCATGTGCTCGGGGCCGGGCGGTGTCCCCGCGCTGTCCCCGCGCTTTGCCCGCTCCGTGCCCGCCGTGTCCCCGCGCTGTCCCCACGCTGTCCCCGCCGCTCGGGCACCGCCGGCGCTGCCGCGTCCTGCTCGCTCCGCGGCCTCGGGAGCGGGCCCGGCGCCCTGCGGAGGTTGGCATTTGTCGCCGGTGGCCGTCGGCGATGTGGCGCGCCATGGCTGTGGGACGCAGCTCCTCCAGCGCGGGAGAAGGAGGCGTTCGAGAGTTTGTTTCCACTCCGGCGTTATGATACCYCAAACATTCATGGCTAGTTGACTGCACCCAATAACCCTCCGTATGAAAAATATTCACTGTTAGAATATAATAATTTGAGTGACTCCAGTTTGTGGAGCCTTCCACAAACCAAGGCCTCTCGCATCTCTCATTTCCATGTAGACTGTAAGAAAACCAGGCCAGGAAGGTCTCTGAACTTGAGGAAAAGCTTCAGGAAGTCTCCAGAAAAGACAAAGAGTGCACAGGGAGACTGTTTATGATGTCTAAATATTTATCCAGGAGGTGGGTAGTAAGGAAGGACTAATTAGTATTAAAGATGTCAAATATCACACTTCTAATTATGCTAGCAAAGGTAGCACAACGGAAGGTAAATGTGAATGCACATCTGAGATCATGAGACTCGCTGCCTAATCCGTGACTGAATTATTACATCACTTGGCGCATTCCCATCAGGTGTTGTTTTCTGACTGAGCGATTTGCCTCTTACAGGTGTAGTGCAGTTAAGACTGTCCTTGCTAAAACTGGAATTCTGTTTGTATTCAAACTTCGCTGGGTTTATGCGTTCCATTCTTAAAATAATTGAGGCTTTTTATCATCTTTCTGTTGGGATTGCTCTGAGTAGTTAAAGGCATTTGCATGTCACAGAGGAGAACAAAGTGTCTCTTGTAGAAATGCATATGAAATAGCCACAAGACCCCTCAAGAAACCATACAGAATGCAAGCTAATTTGGCATCTGTGGGAACTATCCAAAGACTGTCCTAAAATCAGACCTTAGAAACAATGGAAGTTCACGTTTGAATTCAGATTAGGATTCTGCAGCCCAGTTAGTGGCTCTGTGTAGTWTTTATCTTGATCAAATGGTCCATCCCTTCCTCTGCACAGTCTCAGACGTTTKGAAGCCCCGCCCGTGCTGCTCCAGGAGCAGCTGTGGAACATTGCTCACCRCACACCACGCACCCATGGTGGGACWGCACCCGCTTACCTTGGCTCGAGCAATCTGCTSTAGATATCMTTCCCACAGCTGGGAACCGTGCTATCCTCACACGTTTAATWCCAGATTAATTCCCTATCACTGAATTGATTACGTACTTTTTACGGTTAGGAAAGGTCATGGATTCATACTCTATCTGACATTGCTAATTGTCAAAAAGATTTTAGATATTTAGCTGAATTAAAATACAGCATTTATGTAACAGAATTGCCTCAGTGGATGGAACCAATAATACCAAGAGCACGCTGAAAAAGTATGGCACGGCCTCCAGTTCACAGGGTATCTCTGATTATCTTCCTAATGGATATACAAACAAGAAGACATCCAACCCTTGCTACCAAAACACAAGGAGAGTAACAGAATGTAAACATAAAGCTGCTAATGTACACACTGACACATGAATGACATTTACATTGTTCAGAATAAAATCCAGGATACTCTCGAATAATGAGCCACAGAAAAATAGCTGGAGCAAAATTTTCTTCAGAATGAAACGCGGGCTCRTTTGAAATGAGATTTTTTTTCATTAAAAAAAAATGGTGCAGCTAATAATAAAGTCTTTTAACCTGTATTTTGTTATAGGTGACAGGTGAACAAATCACAGGTCTTGAGTTTCTCTACCCTGCCTCTCTTGGTAACGTCATCTCCAGTACCATCTGCTACCTACCAGACAAACAGACCAACCACATAATGAGGTACCAGCTTCCACCCAGCTACCGTGACTAAATCAGAACAAAAGATTCAACGCCTCCTTCAACAAAGGAACACAAGTCTAAGCTGTCTTTGCTAATTGCTGGGTTTCAGGTTGTCTGTTACAGATTTTAAGTGAGCTACAAACTTCCATCAGATACTTATAGCTGTTGGATAAAAGTACTAAGAATAAAAGATAAATGGAAGCAAAAGGTAAGAGAGAAGAAAGCTTAGAAAATAAGTAACTACTTATGGTAATTTAAAGGCTGTGGAATAATATAAACATGAAAGACCAGGGGGCAGAGTGATTGATATCTCATATGTTTTCGATGCCCCTACGGTTATTAGACTGCAATATATGGGAACATACAATAAACTATGAATTAAAATGTAATTGTAGCTTCAGGCATCTTCTTCATTGTCTGCTGTGGTGTTATGTCTTCATGCACCGTGATTGACAAGGTGTAATTAATCATCTTACTCAGTTGTAAATATGGGCACCCTTCACAGTAGGCATCAGGAAGTGTGTACCAGCAAAGGAAGCAATAGTTGACGCTGAGATACCATTAAATCAAAATCAGAATGCCTATATGTTCARAAATGTGTGTTTGGTGTGATGCTGTTATGGTTTATTTCTAAAATACTGTACCAACAGATTTACTTGATTTGCAAGTTAACTACAACATTAACTGGTTTTATTTATTTTGTCTTTTCTTCATTTTTATAGGCAATGATGTTGTTCTCCTAAAATGTGAGCCAGTTTGCTTCCTGTCAGCAAGTGGAGCTGAGCTCAGCTCTTCCTCTCCCCGAGTTGCTGCAGACAGMCAGCAGCTTCAGTCAGCTGCTCCATGAACTGACTTGAAACGGTTCGGGGGAATTATTACTCCATTCATGGATCACTTTTCGCACTTCTCTTCTATTGACTTAGACACTTTGGGTTATTTTAAAGTGAAAGAGAATAATGTCATTATATTAATAACAAACACCATTTCATTCCAAAACAGGACATTGTCACCAATGCTGTCCCCAAATTGTAAATGAATGTATTTTTAATGACTTTTTTCAATATTCTAGGGCAGGAATCATGTTATATCTGCTTTTTTTTCTAAATGATTGCTATCTTTATCTAGTTAGTGCAGAAACGGTATCTGAGTCATGGGAAATTTAAGTGGTTTGTCTCAGGAAAATTTGGTGGTGTGCATGTTTTTGATGCACGTAGAGCTGCTGAATGAATAATTGGCCCCTATTTAATGTCCTCTGCTTTAAAGCTGTCGAGTACATTTGCTGTTTTAAAAAATGTCTTTCAAAGCTGTTAAATATGTAACAAAAAGAGGTTGCTCTCCCATTCTGACATGAACAAAGCCATACAGTGAGCTGCCCGAGGTACTTCCAGCATGGGATTAATTACAAACACAATCATAAATGGAAATTTGTGAAGTTTTCCTATTCTTTTTCTTTGCAATACCAGCTGCTGAGTGTTTGATAAAAGCATGCAGTAAAAATAGCAGTTCAGGAATTAGCTATTAAATATTAAGCCAAGCATTTTTCAGAGAGGATGGGATCTGTTGGATCTGTAATTCCACCATTTATCCCGATGGAATAASATTTCTGGCTGTCTTCAGAAGCAAACTGAGCTTAAAACAGGGGCGCACTCTCAAGAAGATGATCGACTAAGAATGTGTTTTATTTTGATTTGAAAAACTGTCAATCACAGTTAAAAAAGACCAAATAATATTATTATATATACTAGCTAACTGTATTTGTCTGGTAAACCAGGCATATGCAGGAAAGAGAAATAACAGTTTAAAAGGAGTGTATTCTGAAGGTTTTGCCCAGATGTTGTGCTGAAATTGTTGTTCACCCATACAAGCAATCAATTTCGAGGGAAAATGCAAGCATGTATCTATAGAGGTGAGAGAGAAATAAGATGTCCAATGTCTCACATATTTCAGTTTATATAGCCACAGCTATTTAAACAATTCCAAAACTGCCTCTACGGGTGTCAAAGAGGGAGGGAAATCTTCAACCACATGATCTTCTCTCCAGAGTCCTGTTAAATCCACTGAACTTAAAACAGAACAAGAAGTGTGAAATATGGGTTTGAACATGTTATGTCAGAAATGTAAAGGTTGGAAGCCTTTTTAGTAACCGATATTAATATTGTATTAAATGTTATGAGAAGGTAGGTGTTGGAGAGAAGGGCTGGGCTCATGTGCAATTTTGTCAAGGTTTTTATCTGTGATTATGATTCCAGATGTATCTATTCCCTGAGGAGAAAAATGAAGTAAAGTTGGCATGTGACATGTGTTTTAAGGTGTTTGGCACAGTTTCCCAAAGTGATGACAAARTGTTCATTTTTATTACAGAGAATTGGTAAAGAAAATATGATTCTGAAGGTCAGTAGCTGTATATTTAAGATAGCTTTGGAGTTTTATTTTGGGGAACACACATTTTTGTGGTATACTTAGATCTGATTGCCTGACAAGCATCTACCATAGAMAATAACGTAAACAGAATAACTTGTACAAAATACAAAGTGGTCATTACTAAAAATTCAGTAAATTCATGCACAGAACATGGCAAATATCGCAAAAATGTCTCATTTTTGCATCTAGTAGTGTAGCTACTTTTCATTTTTTTAACCTGTTTACTGAAGACTAATCTTTTTGCTGTACAGTTAGAGCTCACTTAAGTGTAACAAGGCGCTTTGTAGGAACACGTGTTTAATGTAAACGGAGAGATTTTTTTTTWAATAAATTGGGGAAGGTGTTTTTTGGGGTGAAGGCTATTTTGCCTAAATGCACATGGTAAGARTGGAGCTCAGCAATTGCCTGCCCTGCTCCCCCTGCCCGGTCCTGCAGCCCGGTGT